TTCTTGTAAACAGTAGAATGTTGAATCCTGTTTTTGTATCCAATCTCTTAGCCTGTGCCTCTTTATAGGTGAGTTGAGTCCATTGATATTAAGTGATATTAATGACCAGTGGTTGTTAACTCCGGTCATATTTTCTTTTCTTTTCTTTCTTTTTTTTTTTGGTATTAGAGTTTGTGTGTTTCCCTTCTTCGAGTTGTGCTGGTGAAGAGTCATTAGATGTCTGAGTTATTGTGGGCATTGTCGGACTCCTTGGGTTGTGATTTTCCTTCTATTACTTTCTGTAAGGCTGGATTTGTGGCTACGTAGTGTTTAAATTTGTTTTTATCCTGGAAAATTTTGTTTTCTCCATTTATAGTGAATGAAAGCTTGGCTGGGTATAGTAGTCTGGGTTTGCATCCATGGTCTCTTATTTTCTGTAGTACATCTATCCAGGACCTTCTGGCTTTCATGGTTTCCGTAGAGAAGTCAGGTGTAAGTCTGATAGGTTTACCTTTATAAGTAACTTGACCTTTTTCCTTTGCAGCTCTTAATATTCTTTCTTTATTTTGTATGTTTTGTGTTTTGATTATTATATGGCGAGGAGATTTTTTTTTTTTTTTGGCCAGTCTATTCAGTGTTCTGTATGCTTCTTGAACCTTCAAAGGAATATCTTTCTTTAGGTTGAGAAAGTTTTCTTCTATAATTTTATTAATTATATTTTCTGGATCATTGAGCTGTACTTCTTCTCCTTCTTCTACCCCTATTATTCTTAGGTTTGGTCTTTTTATTGTGTCCCAGATTTCCTGAATGTTTTTTGATGAGAATTTGTTGGTTTTGCTGTTTTCTTTTATCAGTGTGTTTATTTTCTCTATGGTATCTTCAGTGTCTGACATTCTTTCTTCTATCTCTTATAATCTGTTGGTAGTACTTGTCTCTGTAGTTCCTGTTAGTTTACCCAGATTTTCCATCTCCATCCTTCCCTCGGTTTGTGTTTTCTTCATTACTTCCATTTCATTCTTCAAGTCTTGAACTGCTTCCTTTACCTGTTTGATTGCTTTTTCTTGTTTCTCTTGGCTTTCTTGGGTATCTTTGAGCGATTTATTCATTTCCTCTACCTTTTTGTTTGTAATCTCTAATTGTTTATGGCAGTTTTTCACCTCCTGTTTAAGGTCCTCTATTATTTTCATATAATTCACTTTTGAGTTGATTTCTTCTAATTTTTCTGGAGTAGGGTGTACAATTCTACTTATTTCGGGATCCCTGGATTCTGGTGATGTCATGTTGCCTTTCAGGTTGTCAGAGGAATTCTTGCATTGGTGCCTTCCTATCTCTTTCTTCAAATGGAGCCAGGAGAGGCCTGGTGTCTTGGTCCAGTCTTTGCTGTGACTGACTCTCTGGGTGTATCTCCTCAGTGTAGAAGCAGGAACCGTTCCCGTGCAGATGGAACTCCTCAACACCGAAACATTGACGCCTGGTAGTCCAATGACCCGCGGACAAAAAGGCGAACTTGGGGGGCAGGGCGGGGTCGAGTAGAGCACAGGAGACCCTGCAGCACAAGCTGAAGGTGCCCGCGATCCCTTTCGGGGGTCCTAGAGGCCTGACCAATAGGCAGGCACTTACCACTCGGGGTGGGTAGCCTTAGTGTAGAAGCAGGAAACTGTTCCTGAGCAAAGGACCTTGCAAACAGCGCAGGCTTGGGGGCAGGGTCATGTGTAAGAAAGCCCTGCAGAAGGAGCTGGGGGAGGAGGGTTTGTGCTCTCTTCTGGGACAATCCGCCCCGGATAGCACACACTCACCCGTCCAAATGGAACTCCTCAGCACCTAAACAGGGATGCCTGGTAGCCCAATGACCCTGGGACAAAAGGAAGAACGTGGCAGGCAGGGTGGGGTCCAGTGGAGCACAGGAGACCCTGCAGCACAAGCTGAAGGTGCCCAGGTTCCCTTGCAGGGGACCTCGAGGCCTCCCCGATATGCAGGCACTCACCACTCTGGGTGGGTAGTCTTAGTGTAGGAGCGGAGAACTGTTTTTGAGCAAAGGACCTAGTGACAGCAGGGCAGGCTTGGGGGGCGGGGGTTTGGGAGGCTGGTTGGTGTGTAAAAAAGACAGCCCCGCAGCAGGAGCTGGGGGAGGGGAGTTTGTGCTCTCTTCTAGGACAATCCGCCAGAGAAGGAATTCTCACAACACCAGGATCGGCACATGTATCTGAGACTCCATCGCTGACCTGGCATGAGATGGGAGTGTCTACAATAAACATACGTTCCCCAGGGAGATGCGTGGCCTCATGTAATCCACGGAAGAACATGGAAAGTTCCTGTGGCAGATGATTTTCTGAGCACTAATATGAGTTTTCTGTAGTAGGAGCTGCGGGTTGCATTCCTGCCGCCCCAGCTCCTGGTCTCCTGGCTAGCTTATGTCCCAAAATAACAACACACAAACTGTATTCATATAAACACTGCTTGGCCCATTTCTATCTAGTCTCTTCTGGCTAACTCTCATATCTTGCTTTAACCCATATCTAATAATCTAAATAGCACCAGTCTTACCAGGAAAGATTCAGCATGTCTGACCTGGCGGCTTGCTCCATCGCGTCTGCCCGGGAGAGGGGAGCATGGCGTCTTACCTCACTTCCTCTTCCTCCCAGCATTCTGTTCTGTTTACTCCACCCACCTATGTTCTAACCTATGAGGCCAAGCAGTTTTTTTATTAATTAACAAATGACCTTCCTCCATCAGTTTTCCCTCTCTGTGGGAGCACTCAGTGTCTCTTCTCTGAGAACACGTGGCCATAGAATTTGCTTTTAGTGGCATAGTGTGACCCTTCCAGAAAGCAGCCCACCTAGGCATCTGCCTCTGAATTCTAAGAATTTATTCCTGGATTGAGTCCATCATCAATGTCTTTTCCCTGCCCTGGATGCTCTCTTGAAAGCTTTTCAGCCCTCAACCCTGCAAATAATTGGTTTTTATTTTTCTCACTTCCACACCTAGTTCTGAAAAATGCATGTATAGCTGGCCTTCACGCTTCAGCCTTTCTTGGTGGGTCCCCAGGCCCTTTGCAGATAGGCTTTTGACAGACATGCTCCACCAAATCTAATAAAATTCAAGCTGACTTTTCATGATACTACTCAAAGTTTGGATGGCACAAAACACTCAGGAGGAGGTGTATCTGGTTGCAAGGCTGAAAGCATCCCTGCTTTTCCAATAGCCAGCCTGTGTTTGTAAAAGTCAGTTTGTTCAGCTAGTCTTTCCTGTCCTAGGAATGCGTCAGTTCCTCCAGACTCTAAGTCACGGTCCCACTTCCAATACGCAGCTCACTGGCGCTCTGTACTGGTCGTTATTTCTTCAATTTCATAGCAGTAGAGTTTTGAGAACATTGGAGGATCAGGTTTGAGAACAGCTCCCCTCTTTTCCCCTTTGAGACGGGGTTCACTGTAACCCACACTGGCTGGGCGATCACTAACTATGTAAGCAGGCCATGGGTCACAGTAATCCTGCTGACTCGGCCTCCTGTGTGCTGGGATGACAGGAGCGCACCACCATGCCTGGCCAAACAGAACTATTCTCATGTATGCGCCATAATGAGTGAGTGAACCTCCAAGATCTTAGACTCAGTCTCACGGCACCCCAATCCTTCACACACAGTGAATCTTAGTTACACATCAGCTACAGGAGCTGGGTATACTGGATATGAAACCACCTATCAGCTACCTAGCTTTGGAAAAGTCACCTAGCCTCTCTGACACTCTCTCCTTAACTGCAGAATGAACTTTCTATCCACACCAGGGTCATGGTACAGCAGTTAGCACAGAGTCGTGTAGGTAGGGAGGAGCATCGAGTGCCATCCAGTCTTCTGTGTCTTCCCCTAATACATCCTTTTCTGAAAAGAGAAGTCAAGACTATGGATCTATGGCGGCACAGTCAGAGAAGAGTGGATGAGAAGGGAGCTGAGCTAGTTTTCCTACAAGCACGGTGTAGAGTGGGGAAAGTGAAGAAACTGAGAGAAGTTTATGTTTTAAAATCGAATATTGATATTTCACTGGTGGGCTTTCCCACAGATGTTAATATATTGCACTGAAATATCACATGATTTAAGGATATGTCATAAAAATCCATTATGTTGTATGCTAACTTAAAAATTAAATTAAGGGGACAGAAAGATGGTTAGGTGGTTAAGAAGCATGGCTGCCCTTCCAGAGGACCAACACCCAGATGGTAGCCCACAGCCACCTGTAACTCCAGTTCCAGGGGATCCGGCACCCTCTGATGGTCTCTGCATTCACCAAATGCACCATGGTGCATTTACAGGTGTGCAGGCAAACTCATACACATAACACTTTGCTTTAATTTTTTAATCTTTTAATTTTTGTGGGTTTTTTTTTTTTTTGAGACCAGGTTTCTCTGTAGCTTTGGAGCCTATCCTAGAAACTAGTTCTTGTAGACCAGGCTGGCCTCGAACCCACAGAGATACTCCTGCCTTTGCCTCCCAAGTGCTGGGATTAAAGGCGTGCACCACCTTTATGCTCGGCTGACATAATACTTTTTAAAAGTTAAAACATTTTTTTTTTTCTTTTTCTAGGCCCAGTGGTGAAGGCCTGTAACCTCAGCACTCGAGAAGCAGAGGCAGAGATCTGTGAATTTGATGCCACCGTGGTTTACAAAGAGTGAGATTCTAGATAGAGTCTTATCATCCCTCCATAACAGCAATAAAGACTATTTAAATATTTTAATAATAATATTTAAAAATTATAATTTGCCTAAATATTTTTATGCCACCCTTTCCTTTATATGTTGCTTCTAAAGACTGCTTAAGTCCAAGACCAGGCAAAGCTGAAGAAAAAGATCCCTAGCTCTTCCAGACTTGACACTTCTGCACAAGAACTTGCCGCCTTCCTGGAAGGGAGAGCGGAGTGAGTGAACTACAACTTCCAGAGGGCCTTGTGGAGCGGGGCTCTCGCTGATTGGTTGCTTGAGCACCGCCCTCCGCTCCTCCCCCTCCTCCCCTCCGAAGTGACCCGTGCCAGGTCCTGGGTTACAGTGCTCAGAGGCCCACTCCAGGCCAGGGACTTCCTTCTGCTGGCTTCATGGCGGCGCGGTCTGCCTTCCGGATGCTGCGGCGGCTCCTCAAGTCCAGCGCCCGGGGCTGCAGCTCAGGGGCTCCGGTGACGCAGCCCCGTCCCGGGGAGCCCTCGAGACCCGCCAGGGAGGTGAGCCCACCCCACCTGTCTGCATTCACCTAACGATTCTAGCATGCCACCCTGACCGTGGAGAAAGTACCCAGTTCTGTTCTGGAGGCCGCTTCTGGGGACGACCCAGGGCACTCACTGATGGGTTGCTTGAGTTCACTCCTACCCAGTGGGAGGGACTCCTCCGACTTTCCCTTGAACTCCCCTACCCCGGCCCTGCCATCTTCTAACAGGTCTCCCAGCTGCAGCAAATAGGGGCCCCCAGGAGTGAGATTTAGGTTTCAGTGAGATGAAACTCATTAGCCTTCCCTGCTACCTAACCTTTTAAACATTTTCCCTCACCTTGAGAGTGGAGGGCGCCAGGACACCTGCTTCTTAGTGTGACAAGGACTAAAAATAATGTTATCCAGGTGCCACCCACAGTCGGTTGTCATTTTGTAGTGGCAGGGCTCCATGGCCTACCTTGTTTCTCTTGGGAGGGCTCGGCCTCATTTTAGTCAGGAACAGGGCAAGACCATGCGCGGGGAGGTGTGGGGGTGGGGGGAGGTAGGAGCCCTGCCTGAGTGCGGGGCAGGGTGGTCACTGCATCACTGTTTCCAGTGTCGGTTTGTTTGCCTGCATGGCTAGGGAAGCGTTTGCAGGGCGCTCATTCCTTTCCTTGTAGATCTATCTGCTTCTCTTCTGACTCCCAGGATTCTCTTTGATGTCCTGGGACTCTTGAGTTTCCCAATGTTTGACTCTCCTGCCTTGCTCAAGACCCAGACGGAAGCCGACTTGTGCTAGAGTGCTCACTAGCTCAGACCTGCCTCTCCTGGAGCCTCAGATAGAGCAGGTTTATAGTTAGAGGGATTTCAAACTCTTGAACTTTGGACCTGATTGAGTGAAACGCTGGGAAAGCCCAGGCCACTGTAAGAACTTTTTTGTTTTGTTTTGTTTTGTTTTTCACGACAGGGTTTCTCTATAGCTTTGGAGCCTGTCCTGGAATTAACTTTTATAGACCAGGTCGGCCTCAAACTCACAGAGATCCGCTTGCCTCTGCCTCCTGAGTGCTGGGATTAAAGGCGTGCCCCACCATCAACTGTAAGAGCTTTAACATGATACTAGCAAATAGAGTTTTCTTCTTCCTCTTAGTTTATTTTGAACTTTTTGTGAAAGGGCCCATGTGACATGACTGATAGCCTTTGATCCTCATGTAAGGCAGGTCATCGTAAGACAGGGCCGCAGGAACCGGTGCCAGCCGCCACCGCTCAGATGCTGTACCAGGTCTTTCATATGGTGAGGGCATGAGTGATATAGCAGGGGGCACAGGCACCAGAGCCGAATCCTGGGATTCAAGTGAGCCCCACAGCTAATTAGCCGCGCGATTCTCTCCTCTCGGAGAATCGGGGCCCGTGTTTTGTAGATGGGCATGTTATCGTCTTCAGCATTCAGTGTCCTGGAGCTTAAGTGCTCATATGTGTTCCTTTTTACACCCAGAGCCTAGAGAATGCAGGTCCTGTTGCGTCATGTGTGTGGCGAGGACTGATCCTTCCAACCTGTGGCAGATGTTAGGCCCCTCCCACCTGGACCAGCAATCCTGGCTATCTCAGCTGAGGCTCCCTCAGCCTTTCTAGGTATTTCCACAGAGTCTCCCACAGTGCATGCAGCCAGCCAAATCAGCAATTGTCGTTGGCTGCTTGAAGCACATGTAATGACTCAGGTGGAATAAGGCCTAAGGAGTCCTATGATCTTTTGTTGGCCTCTGATTTGATCTGATTTCTAATCTGGGCTCTCCCTATCCCTTGCTTTCTTTCTGTAAATCCAGAGGCTTGGACCAGCTCTCCTTGTCCAGGAGCACAGGGCATGGGAATCTGTAAGAGAATCTTAGAGGTGAGATGAAATTATGTATTCAGCCCCTTTACAGAACTGCCAGTGGGCAGATACAGAGGTGTAAATGTCCAGGCCTCCCACCTGCCTTCCTTTCCTATAGGGACACTCTGCCTGCCCTCACAAGGCTCTGACGGTCTGAGGTAGACAGCCATTGGGGTGCTCACTGGGCTCTGGGGGTCTGAGGTAGAGCCATTGGGGTGCTCACTGGGCTCTGACGGTCTTTGGTAGAGAGCCATGGGGTGCTCACTGGGCCCTGATGGTCTGAGGTAGAGAGCCATGGGGTGCTCACTGGGCTCTGGGGGTCTGAGGTAGAGAGCCATGGGGTGCTCACTGGGCTCTGGGGGTCTGAGGTAGAGAGCCGTGGGGAGCTCACTGGGCTCTGGGGGTCTGAGGTAGAGCCATGGGGTGCTCACTGGGCTGTGGGGGTCTGAGGTAGAGCCATGGGGTGCTCACTGGGCTCTGATGGTCTGAGGTAGAGAGCCATGGGGTGCTCACTGGGCTCTGGGGGTCTGAGGTAGAGAGCCGTGGGGTGCTCACTGGGCTCTGGGGGTCTGAGGTAGAGCCATTGGGGTGCTCACTGGGCTCTGACGGTCTTTGGTAGAGAGCCATGGGGTGCTCACTGGGCCCTGATGGTCTGAGGTAGAGAGCCATGGGGTGCTCACTGGGCTCTGGGGGTCTGAGGTAGAGAGCCGTGGGGTGCTCACTGGGCTCTGGGGGTCTGAGGTAGAGCCGTGGGGTGCTCACTGGGCTCTGATGGTCTGAGGTAGAGAGCCGTGGGGTGCTCACTTGGCTCTGGGGGTCTGAGGTAGAGCCGTGGGGTGCTCACTGGGCTCTGGGGGTCTGAGGTAGAGTCATGGGGGTGCTCACTGGGCTCTGATGGTCTGAGGTAGAGCCATTGGGGTGCTCACTGGGCTCTGATGGCCTGAGGTAGAGCCGTGGGGTGCTCACTGGGCTCTGGGGGTCTGAGGTAGAGTCATGGGGTGCTCACTGGGCTCTAGGGGTCTGAGGTAGAGCTGTGGGGTGCTCACTGGGCTCTAGGGGTCTGAGGTAGAGAGCCGTGGGGTGCTCACTGGGCTCTGGGGATCTGAGATAGAGAGCCGTGGGGAGCTCACTGGGCTCTGGGGGTCTGAGGTAGAGCCATGGGGTGCTCACTGGGCTGTGGGGGTCTGAGGTAGAGCCATGGGGTGCTCACTGGGCTCTGATGGTCTGAGGTAGAGAGCCATGGGGTGCTCACTGGGCTCTGGGGGTCTGAGGTAGAGAGCCGTGGGGTGCTCACTGGGCTCTGGGGGTCTGAGGTAGAGCCATTGGGGTGCTCACTGGGCTCTGACGGTCTTTGGTAGAGAGCCATGGGGTGCTCACTGGGCCCTGATGGTCTGAGGTAGAGAGCCATGGGGTGCTCACTGGGCTCTGGGGGTCTGAGGTAGAGAGCCGTGGGGTGCTCACTGGGCTCTGGGGGTCTGAGGTAGAGCCGTGGGGTGCTCACTGGGCTCTGATGGTCTGAGGTAGAGAGCCGTGGGGTGCTCACTTGGCTCTGGGGGTCTGAGGTAGAGCCGTGGGGTGCTCACTGGGCTCTGGGGGTCTGAGGTAGAGTCATGGGGGTGCTCACTGGGCTCTGATGGTCTGAGGTAGAGCCATTGGGGTGCTCACTGGGCTCTGATGGCCTGAGGTAGAGCCGTGGGGTGCTCACTGGGCTCTGGGGGTCTGAGGTAGAGTCATGGGGTGCTCACTGGGCTCTAGGGGTCTGAGGTAGAGCTGTGGGGTGCTCACTGGGCTCTAGGGGTCTGAGGTAGAGAGCCGTGGGGTGCTCACTGGGCTCTGGGGATCTGAGATAGAGAGCCGTGGGGTGCTCACTGGGCTCTGGGGGTCTGAGGTAGAGAGCCGTGGGGTGCTCACTGGGCTCTGATGGTCTGAGGTAGAGCCGTAGGGTGCTCACTGGGCTCTGGGGGTCTGAGGTAGAGCCATGGGGTGCTCACTGGGCTGTGGGGGTCTGAGGTAGAGCCGTGGGATGCTCACTGGGCTCTGATGGTCTGAGGTAGAGAGCCATGGGGTGCTCACTGGGCTCTGACGGTCTTTGGTAGAGAGCCGTGGGGTGCTCACTGGGCTCTGGGGGTCTGAGGTAGAGCCGTAGGGGTGCTCACTGGGCTGTGGAGGTCTGAGGTAGAGCCATGGGGTGCTCACTGGGCTCTGGGGGTCTGAGGTACAGCCATGGGGTGCTCACTGGGCTCTGGGGGTCTGAGGTAGAGCCATGGGATACCCACTGGGCTCTGATGGTCTGAGGTAGAGCCATGGGATGCCCACTGGGCTTCCTGTGCATCATGCTGTGTGAATGAAAGAGAGGTGACTCTTACATGGGAGCTGGCCATGGGGAGAGTGGAAAGGAGCCTTTGGTCAGTAAATACAAGAGGACAGCTTTCACAGATGCCAAGGGAAGTCGATGACTGAGGTGGGCCAGACATCTTTCCCAATTAATTTAGCTCAATTCAGGTATACCCTTCCTTTTTCTACTACTCTGTCTGTGGTGGGGTTCAAGGACAAGGGCGTGGTTGACTCTGGGTAAGGCAAAGTCACCTAGATGGCTAGAGTTCTAGAGACCAGAAACTGGCAGTGGATGACGTAGACAGGAAGTAGGTGTAGGAGATGCGGGGTAGTGAGGAGCCAGGAGGACGATGCTGGAAGGAACAGGGAGGACAGTGCTGGGAGGAACAGGGAGGACAGAGCCGGGAGGATCAGGGAGGAACAGGAAGGATGGTGCCAGGAGGATCAGGGAGGAACAGGGAGGCTGGAGCCGGGAGGAACAGGGAGGACAGCGCAGGGAGGATGGTGCTGGGAGGAGAAGGAGCAGGGAGGAGGACTGTGCCAGGAGGAGAAGGAGCAGAGAGGAGAAGGAGCAGGGAGGAGGACGGTGCCAGGAGGAGAAGGAGCAGGGAGGAGAAGGAGCAGAGAGGAGAAGGAGCAGAGAGGAGAAGGAGCAGAGAGGAGAAGGAGCAGGGAGGAGGACGGTGCCAGGAGGAGAAGGAGCAGGGAGGAGAAGGAGCAGGGAGGAGGACGGTGCCAGGAGGAGAAGGAGCAGAGAGGAGAAGGAGCAGGGAGGAGGACGGTGCTGGGAGGAGGACGGTGCTGGGAGGAGAAGGAGCAGGGAGGAGAAGGAGCAGGGAGGAGAAGGAGCAGGGAGGAGGACGGTGCCGGGAGGAGAGTGCCAGGAGTGTCTTTCCTCTTCATTCTAACCTGCCCAGATCCTGAGGTCCATGTCTTAGTGGAGTGGACTATGCTGGTCAGGAACCAGAGATGCAAAGTACCCTACTATAATCAAGCTTGGGGCAGCTCTTATCTAATAGTTTGGGGGCGGGGGTTTGTTCATGTGCGTGTGCCCATGTATTTGGAAGCCATAAGTCACTCTCAGGTGACATTCCTCAGGTGCCATCCACTTTGTTTTTGTCTTTTATTGGGATCCAGGGCTTGCCAAGTTGTCTAGGTTGGCTAGTCAGTAAACACCAGGGATCTCTCCCTAGCTTTTTAAACCTGGGTTCTGAACATTGAACTCAGGTCCCCAGGCTTGTAAAGCAGGCATCTCCCACCTTAATTAATGTGATCTAGATAACCTCTCACGTGCCTGGAGGGGCTTGTCTCCTAGGCAGTTCTAGTCTGTCAGGTTGACTGTGTTAGCATCACAGGTGGCAATGCTTAGTGACAGCCTTTGTAAGGAGCCATCAGGTGAATTAGGTGGGGTTGTCTTCCCTGCAGAGGAGGAGGCTAAGCAGGCACGTCCGACTGCGCGCGCCCGGCTGGAGAGGCCAAGCGTGGGCACTATCCCAAGGTGCCAGATGAGTCAAACTAGCAGTGAAAAGCAGGAAACGAGTGGTTTTATTCAATGTGGCCGTATTGGGAAGAGGGACAAAGAGATTCAGTGGACACCTCCCCCCACAAGCCCATCTTTGGGGTCCTGACGTGAGGTTTAGGTTAAAACAGAAGGCAAGAGTGTGCGTAACTGAGCAGTCCAGTCAAGGTGTCCATCCCTGATTCATCATTGTCTCAACCCCAGGCCCTTCCTGAGAAGTGGACCTGGCAGGCTCTCACAGCAGTGTGAGATCCTCAACTGTGTGGTGTGAGATCTCTGTAGGAAGCCGAGGTCCACAACTGTGTGGTGTGAGATCTCTGTAGGAAGACAGGCCCCTCAGGCTCTCAGAACCTGTGGTGTGAGATCTCTGTGGGAAGATGAGGCCCCTCAGGCTGGCATCTTTTCTTCCTCCCAGCATGATCCTCTTGGGAGAAATTCCAACTCCTGGGTACCTTGTTTCAACAGTCAAGGTGGACAGTGAGGGGCACAGCATCTCTCTAGAACATCCGCAGTCCTTTGTGCATGCTCATTACACACCCCACAAGTCACCTGGGCCCTAAGATAGCTTGGACTTGTGGTCCAACACAAAGCCATAACCTAAAACATGTTTTGTTTTGTTTTCAGCATAGCTGTGTGGTTCTTTGTAGATGATAACATTGTGTTGCAAAATCCAAAGGCAGGGTCATGTCTGGAACCTAAGCGTATACAAGTGCTTGGTCCACAGCTAGAACCTGGTTTGTAATCAGGTTTACCTGTTCCAAAGTCTGCTCAGAGTCAGGATTGCCGCTCCTCAACTCTGGCTACATAGTACTGAGTGCAGACACCAGAGGAAGTCACCCTTGGGAGCAGGACCCAGCTGTCCTGGAAGCTCTGTGGTCAGTCGGATGGGCTGCCTGTGTTGAGAGCCTTGTGCCCGGCAAAGCCCCTCTGGAAGTGTTTCTGTGCAGCTGGGTTTGCAGCTGTCATTTTCCTCCTAGGATTAGAGGCGGGCCTTTTTGTTACCCACAGTAGTTAGATTCTCTGTGGTCAGCGTTGACACCTTGGATGGGAGAGGCTCCTGTTGTCCCCCATCCCGTGCCTCCAGGAGACTGAAGGAAGTGAGGTGGGCTCTTGGGATGGGGCTGTGAGGTGTGGGAGGAGAAAAGAGTCCCAGGCCCAGGATGGGGCTTGCTGTACCACAGATAATTTTGCTTGGCCAGCTGGGAGGGAAGGGCATCTGTTGGCAGGTTGGGCTAGTGGCCAGCCCCTTAATTCCTCCTTGGCCAGCCTTGCTCTCGGGTTTCTGCTGAGTCATGCTCCTTCCTCCTCTTACTCCTAATTCCTGGATTTATTTGGCTCCTCCCTGGCCTTTGCACAACCCTGTATTAAGTTGGGCAGAGGAGCGCCTCAGCCACAAAGAACTGTATTTCCTAGAGCTGTTGATGAACAAGATGGCGCAGTTCTGCCCCAAACCTGTCTCCTAGGTTTCTCATCTTCTGCAGCCTCAAACAATGACTGACTAATCCTTCCTTTTGGCACTGGGTAAGGAATGCAAAGTGTGTGTGGGTGGGTGGGGGTGTGTAGAAAAACCCTAGACTCCCAGCCCTGTGCCCTCCAACTTGAATGCGCCTGGCCTGGGCTAACTCCTGTAGGGAAGCTGTCTGTACAGTCTCAGCGGTGGGTCCTTCATTCGGTCAGGGAGAGGAACAGTCCAGGTTACTGTGGATATCTGGAGGACTGGGGTGCTGTGCAAGCCAAGGGAGAGGCTTCTCTGGGCTCCTCTCAGCTCTCCACAGCAGAGCCAGAGCCGTGGTTCAGAGCCACAGAACCAATAAGCAAGGGCCACAGCATCATCTGTCCCTGTCCTTGCAGGGGCTGTCCATGAGGCTACAGTACCTCCAGGAGCACGCAGCTCCCTTCTCTGCCTTCCTCACCGACAGCTTTGGCCGGCAGCACAGTTACCTGCGGATCTCTCTCACGGAGAAGTGCAACCTCCGATGTGAGTCACCTGGGCCAGCTCTGGGCCACTGCCCCTCTGCCGAAGTGACAGCTTCATATCCGAAAGTCTTCCTCAGCCCTCCCCTTCCCACTCACCTCCCCTCATTGGCAGCTGGTTGAAGTTTGCTTCAACACAGGGTTTAAGTTTGCTTTCAGATTGTAGAAGCTAGGTTGTCCGAGAGATGAGATTTGGAAAAACTTGTGTTTGGGTTTAGGGATAAAAGTAGGTCTGAGCTGTTCTCCTCTCCAGAGCTCTTTCCTCCTGTTTCCCTTCAGAACCCGAAGCCCAAGACATGGCCTAGGGTGTGTGTGGAGGGAAGTGGGGTGCAGACATTGCAGATGAGTGATAAATATACCCATAGCCATGAAATGCCCAGTCCTGTGTTGGACCAGCTACAGCCACACCAACACACAGAACTATGTAGTCCTGGGACTGCTCTTGGGGGGGGGGGGGGTGTCCGCCGCTGGAGACTTGCAGTGTGGCCTTCCTCCTTTCTTCCCTTTCAGCCCTGTTCTCCCTCTAAGCCCCACTTACCTGTTTCCTTGTTTTTCTCTTGCCTCTCCTCCTGCCCCTACTATATTTCTCAATAAGAAATATTGAGTAAGTAAATGCATATGTATTTGGTAAATGGTTAACCAAACAAGATATACTACACATGTGCTATCCTGTTCTCATCGTCTCTTTAGTCTTGAGGTCCAGATGTGCATTCAGTGGGCATTTGGCTTTGTGACTCCGAGAAGCGTTTCCAACCTTCTGATATTGTTAGATGTTGATGTTTACAAAGAGCACACTGAGAATCTGGTAGCTGAGTTCCAGAGAAACAACCCCCCCACACACACACACACACGCACAATTGTAGGGGCCCAGAAGATGGCTCAGTCAGTAAGTACTTGCCATACAAGCATGAAAACCTGAATTCAATTTTCAGAATCCATGATTTTTTTTTTTTTTTTAGTAGGGTGTGGAAGTGCTTTCTTAACCCAGTTTTGGGAAGGCAGGGTTAGGTGGACTCCTCGACTGGCCAGCCAGTGTAGCTCAATAAGCAAGCGCCCCATAAAAGTAAGACCCTGTCTTATAAAATATGCTGGAGAGTGAGTAAGGAGGACACCCCAGGTTGACCTTTGGCCTCTACATGCACACAGGCACTTGCACATATACGTGTACACATACCCACATTTGCAGAAAAAAAAAAGTCACAATGTTTTGAGTTTGTGTTTTTGTATTGGACCATGCTGATAGCCACTTGGTTTATCGACAGGGATGGACATGTCTGAGTCTAGCCTGACTCTTGATAAAGGCAGCCTGCAGAAAGTGATGGTAGGAAATGGTTCCCTACCTCCACAGCTCATCTGCTTACCCAGCTCTGCTCCTTCATCTTGACAAGGAACCCCTAGGTTTTCCAGCCTGGTGCAAGTCTGCAGCTAGGCTGGATCTGGGCACACTGTGGTGACAGAGGCAGTGACGCTCACCAAGCCCACATCATTCCCTTCATCTCAGGCAAGTGCAGAGGAGGTGACTTCACCACTGCTACACAGAATGAGAATGGACTATGCTAACCAACACAGGCCCACGGCCCGGGCCTTTGGAGGTCTTCCTAGGCTAGTCTGCCCAGCTGCCTTCAGAGTGAAGGAGCCAGCCTCTCGGGCATTCCCCTGCTCTGAGCCATGCTCTGCTTTTTGCCCATTTTATCAACCCATGCTCAGCTCCCTGATGGAGGGATAGTAAGGCCAGATGACAGGGACATGAGAAATGCCAAGTGAGTTTGTAGCGTTGAGATGGGGCTCAGGTCTGCAGTTAGCCTGTTAAGGAGCAGGGGCATCTTCTCCACCTGCCTGCCACACCTGTCCCCCACCTCTTCACCCCTTCCTTTTCTCAGGCCGGTATTGCATGCCTGAGGAGGGTGTGTCCCTGACCCCCAAGGCTGACCTACTGACCACAGAGGAGATCCTGACCCTTGCTCGGCTCTTTGTGAAGGAAGGCGTGGATAAGATCCGTCTCACAGGTGGAGAACCGCTCATCCGGCCGGATGTGGTGGACATTGTGGGTGAGTTGGATAAATGTCATTTGCTGTTTCCCTCTCCTGTCTCGTCCAGTTGGACACCAGTGCTAACTAATGCTGATTTGGCCGTTGTCACTCCTGTTGACATCGAGTCCTGCAACACCCTCTAAGACAGCTGCTATTTATTCTGTTTTGATGAGAAATGATGGCAGTGAAGAGGTTCATCTTGCTCAAGGTCTCGGCTACTGGACCCAAGTCAGTGTTCAGAGTCCTCATCAGGAGGCCCCCGTGACCAGGCTCCTGCTAGCCACTACTCTGCCCCTTCCCCCTCTCTGACCAGGAGCTTGTAATTTGCCCTCTGTTGGGTCCCTGCTCAGGTTTTCTCAGCTCAGCAGGACCTTGACCTCTCTGCCTCCAGTGCATCCTCATGTTCTTCTAGCCACTCTTTCTCTCAGACCCTGGCCAGCTACGGGCTGCGAACACCTGGATTTTGTTGTGTTTTTAAGCTTGGTTTTTAGTGTGTGTGTGTGTGTGTGTGTGTGTGTGTGTGTGTGTGTGCTCGCGCACACACGCACAAGAATGCAGTGCCCAAAGAGGCCATAAGGAGGGCATCAGATCTCCTGGAGCTGGAGTTAGAGGCACCTGTGAGCTACCTGATAGTGAATAGATACCAAACTCCAGTCCTCCGGAAGGGTAATGGGTGCTCTCAGCCACTGAGCTGTCCCTTGAAACTCGCCAGGTGGTAGCATTTGGTCTCAAGGGTCTTTTCTGCAGTGTGTTAAGAAGGTCATGCACTATCTTCTTATGGTTTCATTGTCATTGAGGAGTGGTGTCACTTCATTTGGTTCTTGCTTCTATAAAGTAATTGATCTTTTTTCTCTGAAAGTTCTTGGTGTTCATATGGTTTCCTTGAATTTTAAAAAAAGTTTATATACCATGAACAGGCTCTTCCTTTGTGTCCTGCTGGCATTCAGTGTGGTTCTCAGAAGCTTGGGTAAACATCTTCCCATTATTTGTGTAATACTGTGTTCTTTATATTGCCTTTTTTTCTTTATGGTGTCTATTATCTGGGTGTTACCCCGTCTCCTGACTTGCACATTTTCAATTTATATACACATATATGTTAAGAATGTCATACAATCGTCTCTTTAAGGCAAGAATTGTTTCTGAGAAGTCTAATGTCACTTTAAGATACACACAAACATACATATAGATATGTGCATATATATCTTTAGTGTGTGTGTGTGTGTGTGTGTGTGTGTGTGTGTGTGTGTGATGTTTTAGGCAAGGTCTCATTAACCCAGGCTGGCCTCATGCTCCCTATGTAACCAAAGATGACCTTGAACTTCTGCCTCACCTCTCAAGTGCAGGTAAATGACCCAGCTTAAATGGTCCTTTGATTTCAGATTTCCTCATTCTTTTTTCTTGGGAGGGCAGCCATTTTCTCCTGATCACTGATTTCTCCTTCTCTTTCCACGTGACTCTATCATTGTTCCCCAATGCTGAGATTGTCTTTACCATAATCATTTTCTGGCTTTCTTTCCAAAGATTAAAGATGCAGCCTTTGTAATAAAGCTCATCCAGTTTACATTAGAGTGTGGGAAATTGCCATGTAATGCTCTGTAAAGCAGAGTAAGTTTGTTTTTGAAATTCAGTCTGCTGCACTCTGAAGATCACTTTGCTGTCACTGACTTTGAAGCCTGTGCCTTGCTGCCCTTTGACTCCTTTCAGTGTCATAAAAGGCTTGAGGAATGCAGCCTCTTAATCTTCTCCAAATTTAATTCAAAATGTTAATATTTTTATCTATTATATGTATCATTGTGCTGAAGAGTCTTTTGTCAAGCCAGGGTCATCCAGATTGGTCTATAGGCAAGTCTATGGGACATATTTTTTTTTTTTTTTTTGATTAGTGATTGATGGTGGAGGGCCCAGCCCATTCTAGGTGGGCCACCTGGGCTGGTGGTCCTGGGTTCTATAAGAAAGTGGGTAGAGTGTGCCCCAGGGAGCAAGGCAGTAAACAGCACCCCTCCATGGCCTCCAGGTTCCTGCCCCGCCTTGGCTTCCTTCAGTGATGGGCTGTGATCAGATCGTAGAAGCCAAGTAAATCCTTTCCTCCTCTGGCTGCTTTAGAAAAGGTCTTCATCGCATGCGTGGAAAGCCTGCTAGGGCGGTCTCAAGTTTGCTGCGTCTGTCTCGTGTTTGCTGCGTCTCTTGTGTTTGCTGATTTTTGACAAGATTTTAAATTAGGACTCTAGATTTGTCGTGGGTGGGGTGGAGGTGTGGATCCGCATGGTCTATGCACATGGGTGGAGGCCACAGGAAGACATCTGTCCTGCTGTATCACCCTCCACTTTATTCCCTTGAGACAGAGTCCCTAACTGTGCCGGAGCTAGGCTGGCAGCCAACAAGCCCCCCATCCTGTCTCTGTCCCCCACGGTGCTGGGTGTAGACTTGTTGGGGTTACAGGTAATAATGGCCGCATGCAGCTGGTTTTTATGAAGTGTTAGGGTTTGACCTCAGCTTTCTCTTTCCCTTTTCTTTCTATCTTTCTTTCCTTTTTTAAAATCATTTTGTTTGAATGGGAAGGGAGGACAGTGAGGGTGAGGGAGGGAGAGAAATAGGTCCCTTCGTTTAGCCTCAAGTGAGGTCCCCTATGTCTGTGTTCTGTGGGGATGTGGCTTGTGCAGACTTCCCGTAGTCCTCTGGCTGTGAAGGCTCAAGCAAAGCAGAGTGGCAGGTCCTCCCAGAACCTGACAAAGGGCTCATTCATGGCTGTTATTGCCTGTCTTCAGGCCTCTAAAGGTCTTGACTCCCGCAGCGTTCCGTCCACGAGGAGAGGCTGGAGGAGGAGACACCTGAGGTTGGTCAGTGCTGTGATCCTCACCTGTTTCCAGTAGTGCATGGCAGCTTCCCAGACTTCTCCAGTGGTCTCTCAGATGAGCTCACCAAGTCCTTCAGAAAGAGACAAGTCCCATAATCGGGACTATTGTGCTGAGGAGTGGCTGAGGGCCCAACAGAGCTATCCTCACCTGCCTTGCTGTCCCGTAGCCATGCAGATTCTCTGCCGGTCCCCTCCATCCAGGCCATGCCACATTCTTACCACTGTCCACCTTCCTGCAAGTTCCTCAATTATTTTTTTAAGTTGTTAGGATGTGGTGATTTGGCCACGAGAGCTCATAACCTCTCTCTGTCTGACTCTCTGTCTCTGTCTCTCTCTCTCTCAAACAGCAAGTGTTACTTTCTTTTAGTGAAAGGAACATATTTTGCTGTTGGCCGCTGTGAGGCTGTCTGACATCTGTGTAGGTGTGTGTCCCGACCGCCTCTCTCCTCTGTCCTGTTGCTGATTTAGATCTGCCCTGCCCCTTGTATAGACGTTAGTTACTTTTTTGTGCCTGTTACCAGTACCTAACAAAAAGCAACTTACAGGAAGAGATTTATTTTAGTGCACAGTTTGACGGTAGGGAAGGACGATGACTGGGGCCATGGTGGCAGAAGCTTGCTCTATGTCAGGAAGCAGAGACTGGTCAAACTAGGGCCAACTAGCACCCCCTCTACAGCCCTGGGTTCTATAAAAAAGGCTGAACAAGCCAGTAAGCAGCCCCCCTCACCCCCCATGCCTCTGCATTAGCTCCTGCCTCCAGGTAGCTACCTTGGTTGAGTTTCTGCTCTCTGTTTTTGATGATGAACTGTTCCATGGAACTGTGAGTGAAATAACCAGTTTCCTGTACAACTGCCTTTGGTCATGTGCTTCATCACAGCCATAGAAACCCTAATTAGGACACCCACATTGTAAAAGAAAACTTGTTCGTTATAGAAAAATGATAGCTTTTTTTTTAGTCTTTGTATAGGCTGACACTGGATAACTGACTTTGTGTTGCTGCAGGGAACATTCAGGCGACTGATTTCACAGAGAGGGTGAGCTCTTTGAATGACAGTTTTGGAGATTCAAACTCAGGGTCAGGTGGGCCCCTGGCTTCTGATCTGGGGAAGGCTGGAGGATGTGTCACCCTCTGGAGCCAGGAACAGAGGATGCTCAGAGCTTCTAGGTCTTCCTTAACCACCCTCCCACCCCCATCCCAACAGCCTAAAAGTCTCTCTTTAGGTTCTACCTCTTACAGGCTCCATTAACACCCTCCGCCATGGCCTAAGGGTCTCTCTTTAGGGTCCACCTCTTACAGCTCCATTACCCCTCACACGGCCTAAGGGTCTCTCTTTAGGGGGTCCACCTCTTCCAGGCTCCATTACCACCCCCCATGCCTAAGGGTCTCTCTTTAGGATCCACCTCTTCCAGGCTCCATTACCTCCTAACCGCTCCACTCTAGGGACCAGCCCTTCACCACACAGGACCTTCAGGGACATTGGCCTGCAGACTGTAGTTCCCAGTGCATCTTCTAGGCATTATTGGATCTGACTGACCACAGTGGATGTTTTCAGCCCCACCATTTTCTTTCCTCTGGACTTTTGTGTATAGTTCTTTAAGGTTCCTTCTGCCCTGGGGGCTAGGGAGGTGACATAGTCAGTGAAGGGCTTACTGTGCTAGCATGGGGACCCATGTGAACAGCAGGTATGGCGGTGGGCTCTGCAGTACCCGTGCTGGGTAGGAGTGGGGACAGCAGGATCTGTGGGGGACCATGTGGAGAGTGATTGAGGACAACACCTGCCATCGAGTTCTGATTCCCATGTCTCCAGCCCTGTCGCTGTGCTTACTGGCTTTGTGAATTAAAGAAATTTCCTAAAGCCTTTTTCCTTGTCTACTAAATGAGGAACAATCCTTGTTCTGCAACTTCAGCAAGCTAATCTGTATGATGCTCTTAGCAGAGCACCTAGCCCAGGGTGAGCCCCCAAGTCAGGGAGAACAACAGCCCCGGGTGAGCCCTCTACCCAGGGTAATCACACAGCTTAGGGTGAGCACCCAGCCAAAAACAAGCACCCAGCACAATGTGAGCACCCACCTACGGAGAGCACACAGCCTAGAGTGAGCACCCAATGTGTCTTAGGATTTCTATGGCAGTGAAGAGCCACCATGACCATGACAGCTTTTATAAAGGAAAACATTTAATTGGGGCTGGTTTACAGCTTCAGAGGCAGCAAGCACGGCAGCACACAGACAGGCGTGGTGCTGGAGAAGGAGCTGAGAGTTCTTGCATCTTGACTCACACAGAACTGGAGGTGGTCTGAGACACTGGGTGGTATCTTGAGCATATGAGACCTCAAAACCTGCCTCCACAGTGACACACTTCCTCCAACAAAGTCACACCTCCTAATAGCGCCATTCCCTTTGGGACACTTTTTTTTTTCAAACCACCACACCGTTCATCTGTTGGTTATCTTTATTCTGGTTCTTATTTGTATGAGTGCTTTTGCCTGTATGTATATATGTATGTATGCCACATGTGTGTTGGTTCCTGATGAGGTCAGAGAAGGCTTTAGCCCCCTGGAACTAGAGTTACAGTGGTGGTAAGCTGCGGCGTGAGTGCTGGGATCTGAACCTGGCTTTTCTGCAAGAGAAACAAGTGCTCTTTGTAGCTGAGCCATTTGTCCAGCCTCTCACCCGGGTTTATTTCCACACTTGTTACCAAGCCCAGCGGAAGCCCCTTTATACTCCTGCCCCTTTCCCAGGGAAAACAGCCTGATGCTTTCCTTCTGTCTCCCTAGCACAACTTCATCGACTAGAAGGGCTGAGAACCATTGGTGTCACCACCAACGGCATCAACCTAGCCCGGCTGCTGCCCCAGCTCCAGCAGGCAGGGCTCAACGCTGTTAACATCAGCCTGGACACTCTGGTTCCTGCCAAGTTTGAGTTCATCGTCCGCAGAAAAGGTGATCAGACAGACTGGAGTGTGGGTCTCCCCAGGGCTCTGCCGCGCTCTGTATGCGGCAGGGTAGTCACTTCCTCCCAGTGTCTGGATCATGTACGTGCTCTCAGTAAGGCATGTGACGGATTAATACCAAAGCCAGGTTGTGGGCCTAGCTGGGGTGGAAGGGACCGCTCTGAGGTGTCAGGCCAGGGTGTCACTCTGTGCCCATCTAGACTCAAGCCTCCCTTCCTCACATCCTCCTCCAAATATTCTCACCCATGCTGGTGACTTCTTTTGACCATGGGTACCCCACCCTCCTATTTTTGGGGTGTGGATAGTCCGTCACTGAGGACTCTGGAAGGTCAGAGGGGTGCTGGAAAAGGCAGCTCTCCATTCTCTTTCTTCAAAGAGTGTCAACAGCAGCCATGCCGTTATCCTCCTTCCCGGCCCAGGTGTGCAGCTTCCTGCTTGCAGCCTTCCAGAAGGTTTTTTTTTTTTTAATTTATTTATTTATTATGTATACAATATTCTGTTTTGCGTGTATGCCTGCAGGACAGAAGAGGGCACCAGACCTCATTACAGATGGTTGTGAGCCACCATGTGGTTGCTGGGAATTGAACTCAGGACCTTTGGAAGAGCAGGCAATGCTCTTAACCATTGAGCCATCTCTCCAGCCCCATAAAAGTCTGGCTGAGGCTCCTCCCTCTGGAGAGGGCTGTATCACCCACTTTGATGAAATTCAAAGTGTAGCAATATAGTTTTAATGTGCTTATTTATTTCTATTTTATTTTTGTGTGTGGGCATGTGTGTAAGGGTATTACTGTGGGGGTGTGTGGGCATGTGTGTAAGGATATTACTGTGAGTGTGTGTGGACATGTGTGTAAGGATATTACTGTGGGTGTGTGTGGACATGTGTGTAAAGGTATTACTGTGGGTGTGTGGGCATGTGTGTAAGGATATTACTGTGGGTGTGTGGGCATGTGTGTAAGGATATTACTGTGGGTGTGTGGGCATGTGTGTAAGGATATTACTGTGGGTACATGTGGGCATGTGTGTAAGGATATTACTGTGGGTGTGTGTGTAAGGATATTACTGTGGGTGTGTGTGGGCATGTGTGTAAGGATATTACTGTGGGTGTGTGTGGGCATGTGTGTAAGGATATTACTGTGGGTGTGTGTGGGCATGTGTGTAAGGATATTACTGTGAGTGTGTGTGGGCATGTGTGTAAGGATATTACTGTGGGTGTGTGTGGGCATGTGTGTAAGGATATTACTGTGGGTGTGTGTGGACATGTGTGTAAGGATATTACTGTGGGTACATGTGGGCATGTGTGTAAGGATATTACTGTGGGTGGGTGTGGGCATGTGTGTAAGGATATTACTGTGAGTGTGTGTGGGCATGTGTGTAAGGATATTACTGTGAGTGTGTGTGGGCATGTGTGTAAGGATATTACTGTGGGTACATGTGGGCATGTGTGTAAGGATATTACTGTGAGTGTGTGTGGGCATGTGTGTAAGGATATTACTGTGAGTGTGTGTGGGCATGTGTGTAAGGATATTACTGTGAGTGTGTGTGGGCATGTGTGTAAGGATATTACTGTGAGTGTGTGTGGGCATGTGTGTAAGGATATTACTGTGGGTACATGTGGGCATGTGTGTAAGGATATTACTGTGGGTGTGTGTGGGCATGTGTGTAAGGATATTACTGTGGGTACATGTGGGCATGTGTGTAAGGATATTACTGTGGGTGTGTGGGCATGTGTGTAAGGATATTACTGTGGGTGGGTGTGGATATGTGTGTAAAGATATTACTGTGGGTGCGTGTGGATGCAAAAGGACAGCCCCTACTGTTATCCTCTTGAGTTGTCCATTATGAATTTTTTGTGACAGCTTCTCTTGCTGGGATCAGGGATATACTAATTTAGATTAGTCTGGTTGGCCAGTGAGCCCTGGGACTTTCCTTCTCTCCACCCCCCAGGGTTGGGATTGTAAGCATGCCACTGTGTCCCACTTTTTTTTTTTTTTTTTTTTTTTTTTTGGTTTTTCGAGACAGGGTTTCTCTGTGGTTTTGGAGCCTGTCCTGGAACTAGCTCTTGTAGATCAGGCTGGTCTCGAACTCACAAAGATCCGCCTGCCTCTGCCTCCCAAGTGCTGGGATTAAAGGCGTGCGCCACCACCACCTGGCTTTGTGTCCCACTTTTTACATGTCATGGGATCAAACTCAGACTCATGCTTATGCATGAGATGGTTCCAGACCCTGCAGACTTCTGGGACAAAACCTACAAGCACATGCTGATCTCATGGTGTCCATTGAAGTGCCATGGAGCAGGAGAAGACTCAGCAGAGAGGACCTCTCAAGGGAGAGATGGTTCTGCTGGCCTGGTGGCACAGGATCTAGGGTCCTTCCTCTGAGGAAGCTGTGACCAGAACAGAAAGCAGAAGGCTGGGAGGTAGAAGTGGAAGGGGTGCTTCAAGCTGAGCCCCTTCTGTGTTCTCTCCCTCCCTTATCTCCTTCCCTAGCCCACATCCCTTCCCCAGGCTCACATCCGACACCAGGGAGCCATCCCCTCCCAACCCCAGTGTGCTCTGACATTCACCTGCCTCTGAAGGGAACACACCAGTGAGAGAGGGTCCTACGTCATACAAGGTGGAGTGTGAAGACTGCAGCAGGGCCTCAGTTTCCCCATCAGCTAGATCATGAGTCAGCTAACCGTGTCCCACAGGCCACATCCAGCTCATAGCCTCTTTTTGTACAGCCTTAGAGGCAGAAGTGGGTTTTACAGATAACACTTGTAATCATTAATCACTGAGGACATGACCTGTGAACCCCAGTTAAACAATATTGACTCCCTGGGAAAAAAGTCTTTCCTCTATCCCACGTTAAGCAAAGCCACACGGAACTTTTGAGATAGTAAAATAGCTCTAATTTCAAGGGACCTGATGCCCTCTTCTGACCTCCAGCAGCACCAGGGACACATGTGAGATACAGATACACATGCAGGCTAAACAAACATGTACATAAAACTAGATAAAAAAAAAAAAGACAACAGATCAAGAAAGACAGCTCCGAGAAATGACGCCCCAGATGTTTTGGCCTCTGCTTGTGCATACATCCCCAGCAAATACATGAACATGCACACATACCTACAAACCTGCAAAAATAAATGTAAATAAAAATAAAACCCATATTGCTTTACTTTGACATTAGTAAAAACACACTTCATATCATGTATCCACATAGAATCTGGCCACTGCCTCTCGGTTTGCATAACCTGAACTGTTTGTTGTCCAGCCCTCTGGCCCATGAGAGAAAACTCTTGCTGGTCATCGAGCCAGACGGCCTCTCAGGATTCTCTGTCTTACACGGCTGTGGTGGTTCCCTGGAGAAGGAGGGAGTCCCTGAATCCTTTGCTTCCTCCTCTCTGCAGGCTTCCACAAAGTCATGGAGGGTATCCACAGAGCCATTGAGCTGGGTTACAAGCCTGTGAAGGTAAGGATCTGCCAACCCCTGCTGACTGCTTCCTCCCTTCCTGAGCCTACCAGGCAGGGGGACCGTGGGTCCATGACACTGGCCCTTGACAGTCCTCAGCCTGCCCAGTGGACGTGAACCTCTCACTGCTGCTGGCCAGGCCACGTCTAGCCCCCACTTCTCATCCCTCATTGGGAATAGAGAAAAGCAGTGGCCACTACGGAATACCCCGTCCGTGGAATAACGGGTGGCCAGAGGCACAGGCTGGAGCTGAGCAGTGCCACACCCCAGGGTCGTCCTCATGAGAACACGTTGGAGACAGCTCTCACTGCCCAGTTGTCCTTGGCCAGGTGAACTGTGTGGTGATGCGAGGCCTGAATGAAGACGAGCTTCTGGACTTCGTGGCCTTGACAGAGGGTCTTCCCTTGGATGTGCGCTTCATTGAGTACATGCCGTTTGACGGTGAGTGATGAGGGCTTGGTCGGTCCAGGGACCTCAGGGCTGTCCCAGGTACTGCTACCCCCTGGGTTGGTGGCAGGATGGTGTGGGATGCTCTGGGGTCAGGTGTGGATGTGATCTGATCCTCGGGCAGGGTCCCCTTCATCTTTGGTTCAAAAGCTCCCCCTGCCACCCACAACCAAATGCAGGTAACAAGTGGAACTTCAGGAAGATGGTTAGCTACAAGGAGATGCTGGACACCATTCGGCAGCAGTGGCCAGGGCTGGAGAAGCTGCCAGAGGAGGACTCCAGCACAGCCAAGGTTAGGGAGTGGGAGGGCAGTGCTGGGGATGCCCTGCCTCCATCCTGCTGGGTGCAGCAGAGGAACAGTGCACAGCGCAGCAGGGTGTGTTGCTTCAGAGAGCAGCCTAGAGTTAGACAGTAAGATTGAGTGGCATCAGAGGGCATGCTTTTGCAGGTAAATGGGGCAGTGCTGTCCCCCTCCTCCACGTGACCTTCTGTAGGCCTGCCATCCACAGATACCTCTATCCATAGCAACTCTTCTCCAGAGCAAGTCAGGCAGAGGCAGGGGCTTATGGGTCACCCAGCAAACTGTAAGAGAGCAGCAGAGTGAGGTCTTGACATCAACAAGGGGCATCCAGGAGTGAGGGAGAGCCCATGCTGTCCCTTCCACTACCTTCTCCCCTAGGCCTTTAAGATCCCTGGCTTCCAGGGCCAGATCAGCTTCATCACATCCATGTCAGAGCATTTCTGTGGGACCTGCAACCGGCTGCGCATCACAGCCGATGGGAACCTCAAGGTGAGCATCCTGCCCCTCCCACCTGAGCTCCTGATTAGAGGGGGCAGCCAGTGCCCAGTGGAGGGGCACTTGGGGTTTTGTTCGCAGACACCGTTGTTCTTTAGTCCTTCCTTCATTGGCTCTTCAGAGTAGCACCTGCTGTAGCAGGAGTCCTCTCCAGCCCTCGGTGCTGCGAGGATTGCTGTCCACGGTGTCATTCTGGTAGCCTTGCCACAGCAGGGACCCACTTCTGAGACCAGAACCCATTACTTGGCTGATTGTCACTCTTCAGGTTTGAGCTTGAGGCTGTGGAACTCAATGGTACTTCCAGAGGTGGTGGACAGAAGCCTAGTGGACATTTGTCCCCGCCATGTCTGTGCTGGCGGTGAGGACCTCAGAAACCTTGAAGATTGGCTGTGATCTGGACTCATAGTGTCGGAATCAGATCTGAGGTGTCCATACTGTCGAGAGCTGTGATTCATAACATGTTCCTCTGACTGTAGGGAGCAATGTGAAGTTTCTGAACAAGATGTGATCCCCATCTTCTTTAGATTTGAACTCATGAGTGGGCATTGAGCAATGATTAAGATATAAAATATGTGAGGGTAAAGCTGTGGGGTCGTGCTGGGGAGATGGCTCAGTGACTGTGGGGTGACTGTGTGGGGTGACTGTGTGGGGTGACAGTGTGGGGTGATTGTGGGGTGACAGTGTGGGGTGACTGTGGGATGACAGTGTGGGGTGACAGTGTGGGGTGACAGTGTGGGGTGACAGTGTGGGGTGACTGTGTGGGGTGACAGTGTGGGGTGATGTGGGGTGATTGTGGGGTGACAGTGTGGGGTGACTGTGGGATGACTGGGGGGTGACTGGGGGGTGACTGGGGGGTGACTGTGTGGGGTGACGGTGTGGGGTGACTGTGGGGTGACTGTGTGGGGTGACAGTGTGGGGTGACTGGGGGGTGACAGTGTGGGGTGACAGTGTGGGGTGATGTGGGGTGACAGTGTGGGGTGACTGTGGGATGACAGTGTGGGGTGACAGTGTGGGGTGACTGTGGGGTGACAGTGTGGGGTGACTGTGTGGGGTGACTGGGGGGTGACTGTGTGGGGTGACTGTGGGGTGACAGTGTGGGGTGACAGTGTGGGGTGACGGTGTGGGGTAACTGTGGGGTGACAGTGTGGGGTGATGTGGGGTGACAGTGTGGGGTGACAGTGTGGGGTGACAGTGTGGGGTGACTGTGTGGGGTGACTGGGGGGTGACTGTGGGGGGTGACTGTGGGGTGACTGTGTGGGGTGACTGTGGGGTGACTGTGGGGGGTCATAGTGTGGGGTGACAGTGTGGGGTGACAGTGTGGGGTGACTGTGGGGTGACAATGTGGGGTGACAGTGTGGGGTGATGTGGGGTGACAGTGTGGGGTGACAGTGTGGGGTGACAGTGTGGGATGACAGTGTGGGGTGACTATGGGGTGACAGTGTGGGGTGACTGTGTGGGGTGACTGGGGAGTGACTGTGGGGGGTGATAGTGTGGGGTGACAGTGTGGGGTGACAGTGTGGGGTGACTGTGTGGGGTGACAGTGTGGGGTGACAGTGTAGGGTCATGCTGGGGAGATGGCTCAGAAGAAAGGTACTTGCTCTGCAATCATGGAGACCCAAGTTTTGATCTCCAGCTCCCATGTAAAAAGCCAAGCATAGTTCCAGACTTGTGTCCCAGGGCTGGGGAGTGGAGAAAAGAGGATCTTCGGAGCTCACTGGTTAGCTAGTCTAGCAGAGTTGCTGAAATCTAGGTCAATGAGAGACCCTGTCTCAAAAACAACAGTGGAGATTGGTTGAGAAAGATACCTGCTATTGACCTTTTGCCTTCATGCATGTGCACATACACACACATGTGTGCACACACACACTTACCTATATACAGGAAACACAGAGACACATATATACAAAAGAAAAACATAAGGGGCAGAAGAATCAAAGAATCAAAGAAGGGAATGTGTGGGGTGACTGCTGAGCACAGAACTTTAGGATTGGGGTTGGAGATGCAGCTTTGGGATGTTGATCTCCAGGCAGAAGCCAGCACAGGGAAGCCAACAAAGAGACGTCTGTGGAGCAATTAACTAGACTCAGTGAAGGAGAGAGAGGAGCCTGGGCCTGGTGCTATATGTAATCGGAGGTTTCTCTCCCACCCACCAGTTCCTGAAGAGTCACTCAGAGATTTAATATTACTCATAAATGCTTGACTGATGGCTCGGGCTTATTATTAGCTTACATTAAATTAACCAATATTCTATTAATCTGTTTGTTGCCACGTGGCCCATGGCTTACTGGTGGTGCTCTGACATCTTGCCCCATAGGTGGCTGCTGGCATCTCTCAGACTCTGCCCTTCTGTATCTTTGTTTGGATTTCCCACCTGACTCTATCTTGCCTTGCCATAGGCCAAAGCAACTTTGTTTATCAACCAATGAGAGCAACACATATTCACTGCATGCAGAAAGACATTTTCCCACAGCATTTTCCCATTTTCATCTATTTAAAAAGGAAGGTTTCCATTTTAACATAGAAAAATTAGACATAACAAAACAGTTATCAAGTGAGAATCAGTTACAATATCCGGTCTATTTGTATTTGGCAAAATTAAAGAAAATACTCTATCAATTACCCTATCTTTGTGAGTCTAAAGTTTGATATCTATCTTTTATCATAACTAAGGAAAACTATAATTATAACTATCTAGTCTTCAACTCCATCAAAGACCCCAAAAGGATAATAATATTACTCGAATAAACAGGAAGTATATTGCAAGCAACTTCCAAAACTCTAGAAATGGCAAAGACATCTGGCTTCCTGGACAGTCACCCAAAGTTCTTCTGTAATGTTGGGACACCCATCTTCAGCCTTCTGGCTTAGAATATCTGGCAGACTTTTCATTGAAGCAGGAATTTTGAAAGACTGTCCCACCTATATTGGCAAAGTTGTCAGTAGCTTTTCTCTGTGTCCTGCAGAACGTCTGGCAGTTCTGTGAAGCAGGAACCTGAAGGACCTTCCTGCCTTGTTTTATTCAAAGCGGTGCATCTTTTAAGTTCCACTTTACAGATATATTTTTGATTCCTGTTTTAAAGCTGAGGCATTTGGCGTATTTTACCAGTCTCTTTCTCTCCCATGTCTCTCGGACAACTGTCATTGGTTTATCAGCATTCAGAACATTCAGAACCAAGACTACCTCACAGGATCCAAACTTCCTGTGTATTTCCCATCTCTACATGACTTTTTATTTTATTTCTCTCTTTAAAGACTTTAGTATATTCTTTTTAAACTATTTATTTCTTTTTATAATTGTCAATACCCATTTTATTTTTTCTGTAGCCTATGCACACTGTAAAACACATTGAAACCTGTTTAGAGGTTTTTCTGTCTGGACCTCTTTTTACTCTGTATCTTTTAGCCTTTTTTGTCTGTGTGAGCACAAACGAAACCCACCACATAGCACGTCGCTGATTAGCCACTCTGTACCGAGGCTGGTGTGAGACTGTGGAAACCCGCCATCCCACTTAGATCATAGCAGCTGGTGGACAGTTCCGCTGTTGGGAGACGCGTCTCTGTGCTGCTGTTGGCACGAGACTCTGAGACTAGGAACCCAGAACAGCTCAGTTTCTGTGCATTTAGAATCTTTTTTAAGTTTTCTTAGGTCTTATGTGGATCCACACCAGACAGTGGACTCCATTTGTAACTGGAGGTTTCTCTGTCACCCTCCAGTTCCCAAATAACCACTCAGAGGCTTAATATTACTTATAAATGCTTGGTTGATGGCTCAGGCTTATTATTTGCTAGCTCTTCACATTTAAATTAACCTATATTCTATTAATCTGTGTATATCACCATGTGGCCTGTGGCATACTTGTGGTGCTCTGGCATCTCTTAGGCTCCACCCTTCTTCTCCTGTATCTCTCTGCTTGATTGCTCTATCCTGCCTTGCCATAGGCCAAAGCAGCTTTATTTATCAACCAATGAGAGCAACACATATTCACAGAGTACAGAAAGACCATCCACAGCAGCTGTAGGAAAGGGGAATGCCTGACATAGTGAAGAAGCCGGGCCTTCAGTCCTGACTTCTCCAGAGCTTGGCCCCTCCTGGCTTTTCAGACGTTCTGTGTCTACACATACAGCCGACACAAGTTCTGTGACAGGGTGGTACCTTATCCATCTCATCTCCTGACCAGGCTTCTCACAGTGAGTTAGGACTGAGTGGCCACTGATGTTGTCTCCAGCCAGGTGTGATGCTCACACCTGCCACCCAGCACAGTCAGAAGGAGGAGGGATCCTGTCAGTTCCCAGCCATCCTGAACAACATAGCCTGAGCTAAAAACTGAGTCTCTGGCTCAGACACAAAAACCCCAAAGCTGCCCCCTCCAAAGCCCTCGTCTGCTCAGCCATGAGCAGGGACCGTGGACTGAAGCAGGCAGTAGGTGGTAGTATCCCCATGGAAACGGGATGTGTGTACCACCTCCAGGGTGCTCAGTTCCCCATGGATGGGGGGCTGTTCTCATGGTGGCAGTGGCTTCCCCATCAGATGTCTCAGCCAATAGCAGCAGCCCTGAATTCAGATGTTCTCTCTTCATATGCATTTGATTCTCTGTGTATGCAATGCACTCTGAAAGGAGTGTGACCAAGCCCCACTCAGAAGTCTCATTTTTGCCTCTTGTATGTCTAATCCCTTCTGCCCCTCATAGCCCTGAGTCCTGCCTCAAGTGTGAGCCTGATGTCGGAGGCATGAGCACTGGTGTGGCTGGTGGCTGACAAGTCGTTCTCTCATCCACAACAGGTCTGCCTCTTTGGGAACTCTGAGGTGTCCCTGCGGGACCACCTGCGGGGAGGAGCCTCTGAGGAGGAGCTTCTGAGAATCATCGGGGCAGCAGTAGGTAGGAAGAAGCGGCAGCATGCAGGTAAGGGCTGGTGGGAATGGTCGGGTTAGACTGAGGAAAGTGGAGGAGCGTGCAGGAGGATAAAGCAAGCCTGGGCCAAGGGTGCCCTATCTCAGTGTCCTTCAGGCCACTGGTCACTTCTGCTGAAACTTTGAACTTGGGGTGTGGTAGTTCTTCTTTGAAGAAATTAACATAGCATGGGCTACACAGGGGGCCTCAAAATTCTCCTGATCTGCTTTATCAGGCTGTGATATCACTGGATCCCTGGTTTCCCTCGGGTTGTCTGTAGGAGAGAGAGGGTGTTCCCAGACTGTTGTCTGGGCTCCTCCTTGGGTGACCTCGCAGTGATGCGTGTGCATGCCTGCAGCTGTGCATGGGGTTGGGGCCACATCCATTCATCCATCCATGCATTTCAGTGAGCGCTCCCTTCTCTGTCCTCCCCGCTTTCTCACCAGGCATGTTCAATATTGCCCAGATGAAGAACCGGCCCATGATCCTCATCGGTGGGTGACCTATCAGTACGTAACTACTCACCCTTGTCACTGGGGGGGGGGGGTCCTGTAGGGTGGGGTGACAACCTCAGGTCTGTCCCTCAATAGTCTTCTTCTTTTGTTTTTAAATCTTTCCTTTCATTTTTTTCTCTCTCTCCTTTTTTCTTTCTTTTTTTCAAGACAGGGTTTTTCTGGATAGCCCTGGCTGTCCTGGAACTCGCTCTGTAGACGAGGCTGGCCTCAACTCAAAGACCCACCTGCCTCTGCCCCTGAGTCCTGGGGTTAAAGGCGTGGGCTACCACGCCCAGCACTCTGTCTGCTTTTGCTTTTCCTTCTTCTCCCAAGTGTGAATGAGAACTTAACTGTCCCATGATGGGACAGTGAAGGGTCGGGAGGAAGATTTGTATGGAGGCTCAGTCTCTTCTCTTGTCTCCTTTCAGGGCTGTTTTTGGTGCTTCAAGATTCCCCACCAGCAAGTTGGAGCACTTTCTCCCGGGATCCCCTCTGTGTTTGGAATCTGAGTGCCAGAGAGCATCTCTCTGGCCAGATGACAACTTTGCAGAAGAGACTCCGCATGCCCATGGCCCTTCCTCTGTCTCAGCAGTGTCTGGGGTCTAGCTCCCCTCAGAGACGCTACAGCTGCTACCCCAACTCCAACACTCACTCAAAGTGCCTCAGCATAGGGTCCCAGGATCCTGCTGTCCCCTCAGGACCAGGGCCAACCTCAACTCAGCTAACTCATGTGGATTCAGAAGGACGGGCAGCTATGGTAGATGTGGGCGGGAAGCCAGATACAGAGCGGGTGGCCGTGGCCTCTGCTCTGGTCCTTCTTGGACCTGTGGCCTTCAAGCTTGTCCAGCAGAACCAGCTGAAGAAGGGAGATGCCCTGGCAGTGGCCCAGCTGGCTGGAGTTCAGGCAGCCAAGCTAACTAGTCACCTGATCCCGCTGTGCCACCATGTGGCCCTGAGCCACGTGCAGCTGCATCTGGAGCTGGACAGTCCACGCAATGCCGTGCTGATCCAGGCATCCTGCCGGGCCCGCGGCCCCACTGGGGTAGAGATGGAGGCACTGACCTCAGCTGCCGTGGCTGCCCTTACCCTGTATGACATGTGCAAGGCAGTCAGCAGGGACATCGTAGTGGCGGAGGTCAAGCTCCTTAGCAAGACTGGAGGCCAGCGGGGGGACTTCCACCGGGCTTAAGAGTACCCCACTCACTCTCCAGCCACGTCTCCCAAAGGGGTGCAGTTTGGGCCGAGGAAAAGATGTCACATTCCTCTAAATCTAGTCACTATGACCTAAGGTCACCCTGTCTCTTTACCATTGAGATTTATCATAACCTGGGAGATGTCCTCGACATAAGACACCTCTGGCCTTGACACCTTCCAGGACCCTAGCAATGGAACGTTTGATACTGGACCCCCCACATCAGTCATATTATATGGATTGTTTCAGATGGACAGCTTACTTTGGGTTCTCTCTCCTCTCTTCCCTGCGGAGATATAAGGGCTCATTTAGCAGAGGACCCCATTTAGAGGAAGGAAAAGCACAAACTTCCTAAAGAATGTATCCCAGTGTCCCCACTCCCTGATCTCTGGCCTCTCCTCCAATGGAATGAACTTACGGACTACACCCCTAAGAACTCTAGTCCTAAGAACTCATGCCAACCCTTACCCACACCTGGTTCTGCTCACACCTGTCTGATCTGGCACCTATCAGAGAAAGAAGAGTCGAAGGTGACCTTCGCCCTTACAACGCACAAATAAAGCCACGGTGCCAGCTCTGGACTTGAGGCTTAGGACCTTTGTCTGTGAGAAGAGCATAAGCTGCTAAGTTTCGCCCATCAGCCCCATTCCGAGACACTCCCTGAAAGGGGGTGGGAAGAGGGACCCTAGAAAGGCCAAGGGGCATATTTTCACTGTGGGAGACAGTGAGATGCAGAATGCGTCCTAAGGCAGTGGACAGCTGGGAGTCCCAGGCTCAACTGCATTACCAACTCTTGGGGATCAGGCTTATGAACTAGAACCTCCCAGTTGATGCACCCATACAACAGCCTGGCATGCTGGGTTCTCAAAGGTGGTCTGTTTGCAGAGGTGCCCCTGGCCTGGTGTCCCCTCTGCCTTGTGTGATGGCAAATGCTGAACAATTGGCTCTTTAAAACATGAACGGGTTCCTGTGACAAATGTCCCCAACTCAAGCCATCCACATAACCTCAGTTGGTTTGGAACATTCCAGAAAATGTACATTGGCCCTCATGGAACTGGATGAAACTGCCAGGAGCTAGCTTCAGCCCACCACTGGCCCAGCTCACTCCTGTACAACCCAAGTCCACATAGGAAGAAAAACTTCTAGGCAGGTTGGGGTGAGGATGAATTTAATATCTTTTAGTATTACAATATATTCTTAAAAAAGGGTGCGGGTAAAAAGGACACTGTAGATTCTGTACATATATGAGCCTTATTTGTCTTCTGCAGCAGCTGGCAAGTGGTCTTGGCATGAAGGTTGACAGATGTCCTGAGGAGGTGGTCACAGCTCCTCAGTTGGTGGAAATAGGAGTGGATGGGAAGCACCTGTACCCGACTCTACCCACCTGGAGAGCGTCGTCCTTCTACTCCCTGGACAAACTTACATTTGGGGAAGTTTGCCGCTGCTGAGAAGGGATGTGTTGGCTGAACTGTGAATCTTGCATTGTGCACAAAGTTACCTGGAGCAGTGGGCCCACAGGCAGCAGGAAGGGTAGGGCAGTACTGGGGTAGACATCATCTAAAACTGAGGACCCCCGCTGGGCACCAGTCACTTCCTGCTCAGTCACCCACAGTGGTCCGTGGTCCAAGGCACTGTTGAAATCTGGTTACAAAGACATACAGCACCAGAGCCACTGGCCAGATTTGGAAAATAATAAATAGAGAAGGCAAAATTCTTTGGGGTGAAATGGCTGGGCTCTGGAGAGATGCCAAATGGCTTTTCTGAGGATCCAACACGTTCTTTCAGGAACTTCCATCTTGTCTTTCCCAGTGCTTGTCCAGTCTTTATGGTGCTTGGAAAGGCAGAACACAGTCACGCCTGCTGCCTGCCCCTAGCTTGTTAGGCTGACAGCCTGGCCAGTTTGGAAGGAGGTGGGAAGTGGTCCAGCTCCAGCCTCCTCACTCTCAAGACTTTGCTTGTTGGGGCGGGAGACATTAGCCACTCTTCTGAGAAGCCCTTTTGCCCTCTCGGGCTGGCTTCTTCATACTTGCTGCCCCTCTCAAATCAGTGCACATGCCCAGCTGAACCCTGTGTTTCTCCTCCCTATGGCTACTATATCCCCACCCCGAGAGTCTCATGCAGGAAAACAAGATGGGCAGCTACAGGCCTGAACAGCCACTGGCAATGACGCTGAGACAGGGGGTTAGATGTGATGGTCCAGGAGCTGGCAGATGGTAACCATGCAAGACTGGTCTCAAGGTGAGAGGGAACAGGTGCTCTAGACAATTAGAACCTTCGCGGAGTTGATCTTCCCTGCTCCATGTAGAACATTTGTGTAGATAGAGTAGTGCTGCCCACCTGTGCCTTTAAAAACAACTGAAGATGGACAGAAGAGTAAACAGGGCCAGAGGGGCCCCACACAAGTCAGGCTGAGGCGCCAAACTGGGCACGATGTAGGGGCAAAACCCTGAGGTGAGCATCCTTCAGAAGCTCTCGTCCTCCCTCCTCAGCTCCATCTAGGTGTCTCCCTCAGAATGCCAGTCAAATATGGCAGGTGGTTCTAGCCCTTGGGAACAGCTCCCAAGGCCAGCTGCAGCCAAGTACACGGAGCTCTGCGTGACCTCAGATGGAGCCTGAGAGACCACTGGCATGGAAGGGGCCAGCCGAGTGAGCTGGCAGTGAGGCACTCCCACGGGAGTGAAGCATTTGAGTGTTGTCTTCTGGTCAGAAACCACTGGGAATCCAGACAATGGTCAGGTTGCTTTGGGGCCCCTATGCCTGAACCTGGTAAAGCAGTGAAGGAGGGCCTTCTTTGATACCCCTTCTTACCAGAGCCATACTATAAGCTGCTGGGGAGCCAGAGTTCTGCAATCAAGAGATGAATCTGGGGACCAGAGATTAGTGGGTGGGATGGGGGTGGCTGGGAGGAGAGACCCCAGAACCTACTCTAGAAAAAATGCAAACAACTCACTTGCTGGGTCTGGTCCCTTTCTACATGCGTCCTTTTGGACGCTAGAGCTATCTCACTAGAACACATAAGGCCTCTAGTCTACCCCAGATCCATGTTCCATTGACATGTCTCTTCCGATGGGAGCCATGAGTCCCTGCTGCTGGCTCTTGGGTCCCACTCCACTACATAATGTATGGGAGTTCGGAAAGGGAATGTGGTCTCCTGGATTTTAAACAGCTCTGTGCCAACGTAAGGTGTGGAGAACCATGTCCTCCAGCCTGGGATTTCTTGACCAAAGCTCAGGGCCTGCCAGGCATATGCAAGCTGGTCTTAGACAATGACGGTCAGGAGAGGGAGGGTCACAGGGAGAGACAGGATGTGAATAATGTAGCGGAAAGATGAGAGAAGACCGTCCATCAGTGTGGGAGACACCTGGTCTAGCCGCACACAGGCCCTAGGACCCAGCCCAGGGCTCCCAAACCCAGCTTTCCAAATCACTTCGGTCATTGCAGCTTCTCTTCAGCTCCTGTCTCCCTATCTCCAGGCCTGCTGCTATGTGGCCAGTACCCGGTCCCCAAGTCAATAATTTAGCCTGTTTATTGCCCGCTCGCGGGTGACCTCTGGAGCCTGAGTCCCTGTTCGCTTGCGGTTGCGCTTGAACTTGCTTAAGTCCTTGTCAAAAACTTCTCCAGAACGCAGAGCTGACACCAGGTCATCGAACTCTCCACTCTCCTCCAGTGTGCCGCCTGTCAGAACCTTCCGCTGCCTCTGCCATCTCTCTTTTTCACGCTGCTCCTTCAACTGAGAGTGGAAAGGAGAGGAGACTCAGGGACTGCCAGCAGCTCTCTGGTCCTTAGCTGCTCTCCAAGCCTGAGCCTACCCCTACCCTGGACATGCTTCACCTGCCGGGGACCGCTCTGCTTCTTCTCAAGATACCCTACCATCCCCACCTTACATGGCTTTCTCTCCCCATGGTGGGAGATGTTTCTCTTTTGAGGCTAACAGTGCCTCTAAAATGTGCCCAGCTCCTATTTAATCTCACATACTCAAGGAGCATCCTGTCCTTCATACCCTACTCTGCCACATCCTGTTCCCAGCCAGGCCCAGCCCTCACCATGGATTCCATGCGTGCCCTCCGCTCATCCTCCTCTTTCCTTCTCCTCATGGCCTCCAGGTCCTGCCGGGCCTCCAAGAAGGCCTGCAAGAAGGTATCAAAGATGCCGAAGAACTCGTCCGGCTGCATCTTACTTTCCTGTTCTCCAAAGTGTGTCAACGCCTTGGCAAACTGTAAAAGACCCAGGCAGAAGTGTGGTAAGCCCAAGCCTGCGGTCAGCTAGCTCCCAGTTGAGCCCAGTCCAAACTGCGGAATTGTAGGCATGGAGACAGAAGATTCAAACCCCAGGGTTCACCTACAAAATTCACTAGTGAGTCATTCTTTGTCCCTACCTTGTTATCTACCCCCACAAAAAAAAACCCATGAGGCTGACCTCTGGGCTGGTGGGCTGAGTCACCCTGATAGTCTCCCTTCATGCCACCTCGGATCAGGAGATGGTGACCTGGGGAAGACTTAGCTAAAGTTAGGCACTGGCTGGCTGGAATGGAAAGGCCCCTCACAGGCCATCTAATCATTGGGTGACTTAGTTGATGGGTGACTTATTTAGCTCTTCTGTGACTTGACTTCTTCACCTGTGAAGTGGGATCAGCCTCATGGTATTATTATGGGGGTTAAATGGGGTGACAGAGTGACTGGCTCTGTGTCCATGAAGCAGGCACCACTCTGACTTTGAGCACTGTGCTCTCTTACCCAACTCACGCGATATTTAGGAAACATGTCCCCACGCAAAAAGTCTTCCTGGGACTAGCAGCCTGAGCTCTTTCTGGGAGTTTGCTGGAAATGCAAACTGCCCTGGGTCTCCTGAATAAAAGACCACACATTAAAGGTAACCCTGCACATGGGTCCTTTTGCATCCACACAGGTAGAGTGCCAGCAAGTTCATGGCTGAGCTAGGCACTTGGGATGCTCACCCAAGTGACTGAAACCCTCTTCTCAATGTTTACTTCTGTTTAATATGACTATAAACTTTCAGCAGACCTGTATGGTAGGTGGGCGAGAAATGAGACACTTGTGGTGGGGATGCAGTGGGGGTGGGGTAGAGTTGGAGTGGAGTGAGGCTAGGTTGGGGCTGGGGGCCTGGAGTAGGGATGGGGTGGGACTGAGATGGGAGTAGGGTGGGGCTAGGTTGGGTTTTGTGGGTACCTGGGGTGAAGATGCTGTGGGGGTGAGGTGGGGCTAGGCTGGGTTTGGGGTGCCTGGGGTGGGGGTAAGGTAAGGCTAAGTTGCATTTGGGGGTACCTGAGGTGGGGGTGGGATATAGTTGGGGTGGGGCTAAGCCAGGTTTGGGGGTGCCTGGGGTGAGGATGCTGTGGGGGTGGGGCTAGGTTTGGTTTGGGGGTACCTGGGTGAGGATGCTGTAGGGGCGGGGTGGGGCTAGGCTGGGTTTGGGAGTGTCTGGGGTGGAGATGGGGTGGGACTGGGGTGAGGTTAAGGTAGGACTGGGGTGGGGCTCATTCAGTCAAGTGCTTGCCATGCAAGGGCAATGACCTGAGTTATTGATCCCAGCCAGGGTTTGGTGACGTGATCTCAGCACTGGGGAGGAGGATGCAAGAGGATCTCTGAAGCTTGCTGGCCAACCAGTCTTGCCTAATTATTGAGATCCAGGTCCTAATGAGACCCTGTTTCAAAAAATAAGGTCTTTGGCTCCTAAGGAATGACACCCGAGGTTGACCTCTGGTCTCCCATGCAGGTGTACAAAAGCACACACACAAACACAAAAACGAAACTGAAAACAATGCTTCTGGTGCTTGGGTACCTAAACAGTGAACCCTGGTCTCTGCAGAATGAGGTTGTCGTTGGTTGCCTTGGAGGCAGAAGAGATGGGATTTCTCTAGGCTCTGAGGCACTGGGTTTGTCCCTGTCCATGTTAGGACCAGGTGAGAATCAGGCCTAGGCAATGATGAGTTGAGGAGCAATGGGGTGTGGGGGGGGGAGGGTGTGCTGGACCACCTTTACCTTATCCCTGGCCTCATTGAGCTGGTCCTCCAGCTCTGAGAAACTGAAGCTGGACACTGTGATGAAGTCAGTCATGACAGGAACAAATTTGTCATTGGGGTCCCGTGCCTGGCACTTTTGATATTCTAACTCCTGGGAAGGGAAGAAAAAGCACAATTGAGACAGAAAGCACCCAGGGGCCACCATGCTCCTTGTTAGCCACAGGACATTGCACATGCCTTCGGAAAAGGTGAACCTGGGTTCACAGTCCTGAAGGCAATGCTGCGTCTGAGAGTTGCTGGTCTGGGCAGCTGTTTATATCCTTCCCTAACCCATCACCACCACCACCATCCTTTCTGGAATGGCGACTGAGTGAATTGGGGGCAAGTAGTATTGTCTAGGAAATCTTGCTGCTGAGCTGTGATCCACACTCTAAGTAGCACTTTCCAGAACCATCAAGATGGAAGCCATCACACCCATGGTAGCAACATAGGAAGGTTCCTAACTTTAGCCTGACTTGATTCTCCTCTTACCCTCCCCCTTCCTTCTTGGGAATTCTGGGAAAAGTCTCTAGTTTCCAGGTGTGAGGGACAAAGAGTTAATGTCTCAGAGAGTGCATCAGCTAGGAAGGTGTGAGAACAGCAATGGTAGTAACATGACCAGAGAGCCAGTG